GCCGATTTTTGCATAAAGGCAACCAAAAACTGTACTTTTTCAGCACCTTCAGTACCGATGACAGGCTTCGCAGATGAAGTGATTTCCAGCCACGAAGAATGCTGGGAGTTTCTATACAGAGACACTGAGACAGAGGGGGCGGTAGCTATACTCTACCCAATGGTTTCTTCTTGATACGGTCCCCGGTAGTAATAACCGGTTTTCGGTACTCTCCGAAATCCTTTATATACAGCTGAGTGATATCTTCCTGTGACCAATGTACGCCCGGCTCACATATCAATATTCATAGACATTCCTCATTCGCCGATTTTTTCTTTTTTCGAGCTGGGTAGGATATGCCTGATTCTGATCACAGGGATCATTCAAGCTCTCCACTTCAAAAATCCACAGCCTATGGCGATACCAGGATGAAGTCGTCAAAGAACAAGCGACATCGGGGGAAGATGGTGGGAGCGATGAGCAGGATAATGCTAGAAACTCTTCGTGACACGACCAAGCTATCGCCTGTTCCAGGTCTCACCGAGGCTGCTAGTCTGGCTCTGGGTATACTTGACTTAGTCGAGGTGCGTGCCTTCTACGATTCCATCGACATTTTCTGAAAGGAACTCATGAAAGAAAGCACAAGGAAACAAAGAAGACCTTCGATCACTCGCTGAGCAGTGTCTAGCTCTCGTATATATCATCCAGAAATCGTTCGAGACATTTCGAGAAGGCGACCAGATTCCCTGCGAGCTCCAGAGTGACCTACGGCATGTACGCAAGTGAGGGTTGCGATTCGATTACGTAGGACCAGGGGGACTCATTACGTCTCTTCCGTTCCGTTCCAGTACCCTTGACCCAATCGCAGAATATGCTCAGAAGCGAGCTAATCGTGGATTTGTTACGAGAATAGTCATGGGATACCACGATGCAGAGGATATTAAAGCTCTTCAAAGGACAGTGGATGAGGTATTGTCGACATTTCAAGTAAGTCTTCCGGAATTTCATTAATGGAGTATCTGATGAAATGAACTTGGGACAGTTCAAATCCAACATTGAACAAAGACGAATATTGTACAGCATCAATACTCGTCTGAATACTGCTTCCACCATCGACACGACGTCGATTCCGAGTCCAAGCGCAGTCTCACCATCAGCACCGACGTCATCACCAAGTGTATCCTTTTTCCAAAACGCCTCGATATCAGCTTCAGGACCGTTTATGGTGAATTACATCAGCGGAGACCAGCATGTCTACCGAGATTCGAATGTTGAACATTGGAGTTGGGGCTATCGGAGCACGTCGTAATTTACAAGGTGGTAGACATTGGTTGAAATGAAGATTCCTGACTGGTACGTATGAATATTAGTAGCGAGTGTATTCGGTCAATAAAGCAAAACTTGTCCTTTTATTCGGCTGCCTCCGAGTGTAAATAATTTTCGAGCTCAGTATCGGGTGTGCTCCCGGCAGGTGCTACGGTTGTCAATAAGGTTGAGGCTCAGATGGAGTAAATTTTGTTCCGCTTCAACGGCAGTGTTTGCCGGATCGGCGAAAATCCAGCAAGCCGGACCTAAAGCTAAAAGGCGCCCGTGTTATTGAAGTCGCTTCGATAGAATCTTCAATTTCAGTCAACTCTTGGAAAGGCGCAGGTCACCAGGGTAGTTTCAAGCTCGCTATAGACAGGTTATATTCCGCCACGCAACAGTGCTAGGCGGGAGTAATGATCGTACAACTTGTATAAGTAACAGATACTTTCACGAGACGATTTAAATCAACAAAAATTCACTCCTTTTCTCGCATTCGTTGACTTTGAATCTCGACCTATATTTATGTGATACCCCAAAGAAAATGTCTTGCTTGACTGAGTGACCGTCACTGCTCCTTGTTTATTATGTGATGACCGAGTTCTTATTGTTCTCCGTGCTGAAGAAGACAATATCAAGCTGGCGCCTGTTTGTGCATGCGGACATCTTCAACGCCGTCGCCAAGTATATGAACTTGTAAAATTGAATATACATCCATATTCAATTGGAACCTTGTCATTCCCACCGTGCACTTCAGATGTTGCACGCCTGGTTCGAAACTTACCTGGTGTATCTCGTTCGGATTTTCTTGCCAGTTACTGGTTTTCTGTCGATACATCCCGTACGAGGATACGCTGACATAGAGCTTCAGGGAAGGAGAGGAGAAGGGTGTGATGCTTGTCAAATGCTTTTCAAATTTTATGAATTGTTCTGACATCGAGGTTACCTTTGATCCATTTCATCGTGGGTCAGTTTCAAAAGTAAGAAGAACCGGCGGTTTCCGAAATCCTTTAAAAACAGCCGTCCCTAGATTGTTCTTCCCATCCCCCCACCGTGACCAAACCCATCATCGATATTTGATCTTTTCAAACTTGTTCAGATATGCGTGATTATAGTCACAGTGATCATGATTGCGATGCCGGGATAGAGGATAGGCGAGCTCGAGAGATAAATCTCGAAACCCTTCGTGAAACAGCTCGGCTTTCGTCTGTTCCACACCTTGCACAGGCTGCCGGTCTAGCTCTGAGTATACTTGACCTAGCCGAGGTGCGTACTTCTCTGACTTCATTGGACTTTTCTTTTCTGAAAGAAACTGAATGAAAGAAAGCTCAAGCGAACAAAGAAGAGCTTTATTCACTCGGTGATCAGTGTATAGCACTCGTGTATATCATCCAAAGATCACTTGAAAGGCATCCTGATGGCGACCAAATTCCTTCAGAGCTCCAGCGTGAGCCATCGACACCCACGCCTTCGTCCAATGTATACTTTTTCCGTGACGCCCCAAACGCCTCGATATCAGGACCGTTTACAGTGAACTATGTTACTGGAAACCAGCATGTTTTCTATGATCCGAACCGTTTTCGAGTTGTCGACTCTAGGGAATATTACGATACGAGTAGGATGAACTCTGAAAATCAGAGTTCTAGCAATGAGTAGTATACAGTGCGGGGCTAGGCGTTAGAGATTCTACATGTCTTGTAAATTGTGGCACCTTCCTTTTTTTGAGCGTAAATAATTGATTCCATACTGACATCCAATGTGGTGTTAAAGCTTCAAAGTTGCTGCCTCTTGTCGCGAAATAAGTAACTGCTCGAGTCGACCAAAAAAGATCCGGAGTAACCGAGGAAATACGTCACGTGCACGGACCGGATCTTGTAGCTTCCCCGCACTCTTATTGCAGCAACTGGCTTTCTTACTTTCCAAGGATGTTACTAACGCGCTTTCCTTCTAGAGCTCTTTTATTTCGCCGCTGCTTCCATTCCTCCTCCTCTCTCTTTGCGAAATCTCTCCAGAAATTCAAACTCGCAGACATTGGAGAAGGCATAACAGAATGTGAAATCATCCGCTGGACTGCTAAACCCTCGTCTACCATCTCCGCTTTCGACCCATTGTGCGAGGTGCAGTCAGATAAAGCTTCTGTAGAAATCACGTCGCCGTTTGATGGGGTGTTGAAGGAGATACTTGTCAAGGAAGGAGAGATTGCCAAAGTCGGGGAAGGGTTGTGTCTCATAGAGGTTGACGAGGAGGCAGCAGACGCAGTAGAGAACGTGGAGGAAGCAGGGAAGGAATCAGAGAACAAGGCTCCCTCACCGTCTCCTGCCCCTGCGCCTACGTCATCGTCCAAGGCAGAACCGGAGCGAAGTAAGCATCCTATGGATCCGACGTACGTTGCCCCTCCCAAATCAACTTTTTCTAAACCCGGACAGAAACAAGACAACTCTGATGTCCTTGCGCTACCCTCGGTACGATTCCTTGCTCGTCAACATAACGTGGACCTTGCAGACATTACTCCCGGCAGCGGGAAGAACGGGAGAGTGGAGAGAGAAGACGTGCTGGCTTTTGTGCAGAAGAAAGACGGCGGCGCCTCGGCTTCAAGTGTAGACGCGTCGACGGCTACGGCAGGCAACGTTGTTGGAGGTGAAGATACGATGATAGGACTGGGCAGAACGAGGTATGGCATGTGGAAAGCTATGGAAAAGGTATGTTCTTGTGTAGCTATTTCTCAATTGTATACCAACACGACGACAGTCGCTCCAAGTACCACACTTTTCATACTCGACTTCCCTCGACATCACCGAATTACACGGTCTACTCCCTACCCTCAATGCCTATATTCCCTCTCACTACTTGTCGTCTACCTCATCCTCCGCCCCTTCAAAACCTCTTCTCGTGTCGCCTACCGCCGTATTCGGTGACCGCGCTAGCTCCGAATCATCGTCTTCGCCGTCCTCGATACCCGAAGAAGCCCGCTACGCCAAGCTAACATACCTTCCGTTCCTCCTCAAAACGCTCTCCAAAGCCATGCTCGAGTGGCCCGTTTTCCGCTCTTCCGTCTCTGAATCATCTTCTGGAGGTAAACCAAGCCTGGCAATCCGTCCACATACGGATATAGCCTTGGCTTTGTCTACGCCTACAGGGTGAGTCGTTTCTATTCACTCTTCTATGCGACCTAACACACGCTTCCAGACTCTACTCTCCCGTTCTCCCAAGCGTCGAAGCCGAATCCATATACTCCCTCGCTTCACGTATCACCCACATCTCCTACCTGGGTCGTCAAACACCCCTCGCCCCTGCCCACTTTAACGGAACCTCGAGCCCAGATGGTAGCGCGAGAAAGGGTGCAACTCTGACTGTATCCAACGTTGGCGCTATAGGACACGGCGAATCAGCTCATCCTGTTCTAGTACCGGGAGGTGGTGTCGCTATCGTGGCTGTAGGTAGGGCAAAGTGGCAGGGTGTTTGGGAAAGACAAGATGCAACCCCGAATGTCAGGCTCATGCTGCCGATATCGTTTTCGGCGGATCATAGAGTTGTAGAAGGAGCGGAGTTGGCGGCGTTTGTAGAGTGTTGGAGAGAGTGGGTTGAGAGGCCAAAGAGGTTGGTTGGGTTGGGGATTTAGAATAAAGGTTTTATTGTAACAATAGAAATACAAAGTGGATTTAATATCGGAAGCCTAGCCTCTAGTTGCCAAAAAGAGAACGATACAATTGGCTGAATTCCATCGCGGGGAATCGAACCCCGGGCTGCTGTGAACTTTATAGCTTGAAAGACAGCAATGTTAGCCACTACACCACGATGGAATGCAATCAGTTTCAACTAGCGATATTCTACCGCTCTTGGATTCATCTCTAACCGCCAAAGACTCGTCCCAACAGAAATAGGAACAATCCTTTGCCAGAAATCCCGACTTCAAATCGAGATCAAACTCGGGAAGAACTCCATACAACCACGGGCTTGCACGACAACCAGTATAAAGAACTCTTCCAGATAAAGGACGCTCGAGGTGAGAAGGCAGCGGGAACCATATCACTAATAATGTGGTAATCTCAGTCGTGTTATCAATGTATTAGAATCAACTTGCCTTCACGGTCTAGATCCGTCGAATTGAAGGAGCTAGCAACACTAGCAGATTCCTCCGCATCCTGCCATTCATGAAAATCTTCATGATCGGACTCTGATTCATCCAACAAAACAAGATCCAGGATTTTACGAGCATAGTTGCTCGTATTTGGATTATACCCCTTGAGGAGCTGAAAGTGCCGTATAGCTTCGTAATGGTAGTTCTTCCACCGAGGAAGATCAAACATCCCTATGCTGCGCCAAACGGGCCAAAAATAAATTTCGAACTTTTGCCCTTTTTTCGGTGATTTTCGACACTTTCATGAACATTCCGAACTTTTCAGCGTGACATGTGACTGGGTGCCTTTTCCGCAACTTTGATGTGTTCGAAGATTTGAGGGCCCAAAATGCCGAGCTTAGTTTCGAGTTTCGAACTTTAGCGTGACGTGACATCTAACTTACCGAACTTCGACAAATACTCCGAACACATACATCATTCCGGCCATCCAGAAAAGCTCAAGGTATATTAACAATAATTATTTTATTAATTATAAACATATATGGGCATAAAATATACAAGGGGACGTTGCAGGTCACTCCAGTCACAATGAATGTCAAGCCAAAAGGAGGTTTGTATATTTAATTATTTTATTTTGCAATGGGTAAACACAACATAACAATATGAAGTCGTAATTGTAAATTATTGTAAATATATTTATTTGTTGTCTCAAGACTCATTGTTGCTTTTTTTAATACCAAATTATCCAGCGTTTTCCATTTCACGATTCATTAGCAAAATAAAAAATGTGGTACATTAACTTCTAGCTGTACTTCTACATTTTATATCGAGTTCATACATTGTAAATTGTGTGGCATCACACTACTTTTTACCATGGAATATCAGTTGACAGATATTTTCCAATACTGTAAACTTGCTCACTTCAGTAACCATTTCTCCCAAAACAAAGTTTTCACATACTTACCAATTTAACTACTAGTTGTTCTTTGTTTATTTCCATTCCTTACATCTCATTGAATAATCAGTTCTTAATTAGTAAAACTAAATAGGAAATGGCGATTTAATTACATAATTAATTCCCGAGGTAAGCAAATCAATGTAGCAAAATTACTTTTAACAATTATCTCAATATTTATTTAATTTGGCTTAAGAAACGGTTCACTACAAATATACAGTAGTCTAAGTCTTCGGAGAAGTGTAAAGAGTTCGTTGAGTTGGATGTCACGTCACGCTAAAGTTCGTAACACAAAACCAAGTTCGGCACTTTGGGCCTTCAAATCTTCGAACACATCAATGTTGTGGAAAAGGCACTCAGTCACATGTCACGCTGAAAAGTTCGGAATGTTCATGAAAGTGTCGAAAATCACCGAAAAAAGGGCAAAAGTTCGAAATTTATTTTTGGCCCGTTTGGCGCAGCATACATCCCGTTGAACTTTGGAAGTCCGAGAAAATAACAGACCCTTTGGGACAATCTCTTCGCTCCTGTAGAATCCAATGACCAGTAGGTCAAGTTTCCGTTTCCTCCCCAATTTACAAGTTTCTCGCCAGTGTCGTATGAGTCTGTGATAGTTACAGGTGCAATGAATAGGTATAAGTCTTGAGGAATGACTCGAGGTAGAAAGTAGGGCAGCGTTGGAGGTATGAGATGGAATCTGAGAACGTCAGCTAGACCTGATATAGCGATTAGTCTTGTTATTACCTTTATATTTGATGAACCTCACCATAGTCCTCCATTCTACCCTTCAATCCTTGCGAGTTGAACAAGTATTGAGCTTGAGCCAACCAGGCAGGAGCAAGAGTGAATGCATTGGTAGTACTAATGTGAATATCCGGGACATCATAATGAGATATTTTAAAAGGTTGGGAACAAAGCTGTTTCAAAGACAACCTATGAATTGTTCTGCGTGGCGCAAGCGACAAATTAGGTGAATCATACCTCGTCCATCCGTTTTTCATGGGAGTTCCAGGTCTAAAATGCTTCATTGACCGCGCACTGTAGCCAACATTTCGAAATTGACCGACTTTGGATCGTTTTCGGTTCGATTTTTCGTGAGGAGTGTATATCACCGATCCAAGTGTAATTGGTAGTATCCCATCGACGGGATACATATTAAATCGTAAACGATTTGGACCGAGAATTCCGACCATAAAGTGGAAATCGTAAGGAATTCTGTTATCTAAAAACTCCAAAATTTCAGTTTCGTCTTGGTTCGCTTGTAAAGGCAACGGTGAATAGGCCATCTCGAACGAGGTTAATGCTGGATCATAGTAATCTTTCAAGTTGGGTGGTAAATCTTGCGAAGATGTTTTGTATGGTGCTGCGCAAATCGATCCTGTCTGGGGCTGAATGAATATACCTCCCGTGACCTAGCTCTGATGGGTTAGGTTGATATTGAACAGGTTATTCTCCTCACATCTATGGTTTCTCGTACAAACATTCTCCCACATTTGCTGAATACACTTGTCATATCGACAACCTGGAAATGGATCAATGATTATTGATGCAGTACACGTCAAGCTGGACCTTACCACGCGAGATTCGAGAAGACATTTTATCATGGGTGATGCCCGACTCCAGACATTCATGACAGGAACGAGATCTGTACACCTTAAGCAGATTTTTACTAGACCGACAAACCTACTTACCGTCGCAGAATATCAGAGTTAAATCTGAACGATTCACACCGAACAGATGAGCAATAGCAGGATGACTGATACTAGTTAACAACTAGTCCATCTGAGATTGAAACCTTGATCGCCTACTGATTTCGAGAAAAATGTCCTACATCTCGTTCCCAAGCCTGGTTAAGATATATTAAGTGGGAATAGGGAATTAAATTAGCTCCAGAGACGCACGTTGTCACCATCTTTTCCACCGTACTGGATAGCAATGCAACTCGAGATACCCTCCACACCAAATACCCTCGCATGGCTTGTGGTCCTTGTAAAGCGAAGAAATCCCATCCGAGGTCTCAGACCGAGTCCATACACTTTTTGCTGTTCGTCAACGGTTTCTCGAGATATTTCGGTCAATAGACGAAGTTTGCCAAGGGGAATATACAGATGCTATAGTAGAAAAGGAATGTTCAAACGGATCTCATCGGAGCAACGATACATACCTCATTGAGCAGCGGGTTATTGTGAACGCGGTGAGAACCAGGCTCGGGTGAATCTGAAGCGCCATTAAAGATGTTGATAGTCTGGTTTCCAGCCACTGAGGTTACGCTGCTGTCTTTGATAGAGAAACGCGAGGCGTGAGGAAAGAGATATGAGGATGACATGGGGGTGTGAGGGTCGCCGAGAGGCAAGTATCGGGTGGGATAATAACGGTTATAGTTATTATTTAGTGCAATGGATTCAGACCCTCAACTCCCAAGCTGAGTCACTCGACTAAATGACCTAATAGGGCCTATATGAAGCCACAAAACCACAAATTCAATCACTCATGGCACCTGATGAGACCGATGGCAATATCTACTCTTTAGAGTGATACGAACAGATGCTTTGGAAGCCCAGTGAAACCTGATCGGCGATGTTTGTTCTGAGTCATGAATTCTTCATCTTTATACAATCACTGCCCTGCCTCGAATCGGTATTTTATCTCCATCACTCCGCCATGAACCTCTAGGCTACCTGTCGTCAAAATTTTTTCCTGACGTGGTAGAATTTCATTATTCCAAGCACGTCTATACTATAGCTACTCGTTTTTCATTCCGATCGGCACCAGCCACATCTCTACTCGTTAATTCGATGAGCCTATATCATATCCTCTGCGAGACTCAGGAAGCAGTGCTGATCACCGCCACTCTCCTAGTTGGAAGATTAGGGTTATGAGCGGGATTTTCCATCTAAACATGATTGACTAGAATAAAACCAACAAATATTTCACACGCACAATGTACTAACCGTACCAAGCCAAGTTAGTTCAGTTTAGGAGCAGCTTCTTTCTCCAAAAAGCTATTCAACAAGGATTTTCCCGCATACGATACTAAGGAATCTACATAAGGGTTGAGTAGTAAGCATTAAACCTGTAGTAATCAGCATCTTTTCTAATGAAGCTTTAGCTCGAAGTTACTTCGTGTCTTTTCCTTATACAACATAATGTTGAGAATTTAAATGGTCTCCAAGCACTAGGATTCGCTCTTTTGTCCCCAAAACGATCGTCTTTGCCTCAACCATATCTGCATATAGCTGCACTCCGCGATGTCGCTTAACACCTTCAACTATTATTACCCTTTCCCATCACAATGATATTCAAAGTTTTCTGGAAGCTACTTAGACACTCTTTTTTTCTCTCCTGCCATGTAAGATTGTCAGACAGATGCGAAGAGTTCATATGATCTTATGCTCAAGCCCGATTCTTCAGTCTCCCTCGAGGTGCTGAATGGGGAGTCGTGATGGAAGAAGTTGGTGAATTTCATTCCCAGCAAAGTTCATCGTCCTAGCTTCCTTATTTGAAACAATATACCAAGCTTTGTATGATTATCGCTTTAGTCCTATCCAGTCTCTGTACATTCTGATCCCATGTACTCTACTTATCTGGAACTTTGTACAATGTATCTCTGGAAAAAGATATTTGTAGACCATACAAACAGACGATTTAGATAAGACAGACAACCATGGATGGGGACAACATCAATTCCCAACTTCGAGACCAATTTCCTTGCTATGCTGCGCCAAACGGGCCAAAAATAAATTTCGAACTTTTGCCCTTTTTTCGGT